TGTGTGTGATTGTGTGTGTGTGTGTTTGTGTGTGTGTGCGTGTGTGTCTGCGAGCCTTGTATTGGGGGAGGTTGGAGGTTCAGGGTGTGGTCCAAACAATGTTTTCAGCTTTGGGGTGGGGGCTGAAGGGCTGTGGTTTGGGCAGTCTGTGGAAATCTGGAGCTTGGGTTTTTGGAGACTTTGCCGGTGCTTCAATGATCCGGCATGCGAACATGCGAATCTCAACAAACGCGTCATTCACGTTTCTGAATAAGATGCTTCCAAGTTAAGCCATGAAGCTGAGAATGCATATAGTCTTGCAGCCACAGCGCGTACTATCACTGCCAGGCTAACCTCTAGTGTTGATGGGGTATCGCACGCCACGCTGCATGCCTCTTCTGCCTTCCTCAAAGACGGAACAGGAATAAGAGCCAGAGCTCCAGACTAATCTTGCTTTGGGGTATCAACCCCAAAACTCTCAAACCCCTTAAGACCGCAAGCCCTAAATCCTTTAGTCCAAGCTTCTTCAGGGGAGACAGCAGCTCGACCTACTGAAGGACGCGAGTCGCTGCGAGCGATTGCAGATGACTACGAGGGTGTTCAGGGTTTAGGGTTTAGCAGTGCTCGAGTTTTGCTTGGTGTTTCAAGAGTTTTAGAAGCTTAAACGACTGTAGGGGTTTAGGGATTACAGTAGTGGCTTTATGTGCGAAGCGTGCTCTGCGGTTGTAGACTCTAGGGTTTCACTGGTCTAGCGTTCCCAGGTATATAGGGTCTCAGGTTCTGCAAACTCTTACACGCTGTAGTTGGACAGGCATGCTCTGTGCTAACACAGTCTGTGCAGCCGTCCATTCCAGTTGCCATGTGCACAGAGAAGCCTTCCCTCACGGTGAGTAGCCAAAGCTCATGCAAATTAAAACATCCGGTTGAACCAGGAAACTCCAGCATACAGACGCGAAGCCCAGGTTTCTGTGAGGTCTTGGCAGCCTCTATAGTATACTATAGCGTCTGAGATAGCATCCTGGCCTTGTCGAGCAGCTTCAAGTACTCGCCTTCGAGCTCATCTGCCGACTTTGCCAAAATCTTCTTGAAGTTTCCTCGCGGGGGATGCGACAAAGAACTGTGCGCACAATGACGGCAAACGTCGGCGTCGGTGTAGGAGCTTCGGGAGCTTGAGGACATTGGCCCCTCCCTAGCAAGGACTCTCCCTCCCCCATTTCGCTCCTCGATCGATGACCCAGACGGTAGCCTTCTCAGTGGCCTTCGCATCGAGGTTTTCGGGTGCAAAAGTGTCGTGGCAGTCTTCGACTGGGCTTTTTGAACGGCTTCTCTGCGTTCGGGAGAGTTGTGGCTGCATACAATCCCTGGGCCTCGAGGTTAGTTTCTGAGCAGCATGCACGGCTAATGGGTCACTAAAGAAAGCTTGATGTAGCCCACAGTTGAGATCACATGATCTGCTAGCCTGAACGAAGCATTCATTGCAACCTGATCACCAAAGCGAAGCCCTAACCACCCAAACCCGACATTCCAAAACGGAGCCTACGTAAGACCACCTGTGAATTCGCTAAACCCACACATGAGCCCTGCAAAGCCGTACCTGATATGTACACCCTCAACCCTTGTAATACTCGCACCTCGACCGTAGCCGCGCGAGGCGCGAAGTAGATCAGAGCCAGCTCCCCGAAGCTGCCGCCGGGGCCAATCCTTCTCTGACTTCCGAACAAACTTAACATGTACGGTTTAGGGTTTAGGGTTTCTGCATGGGTGGAAAAGAAAAATGTTTGCAGTTTCATATTATAAACACACGAATGCATAAACAATTAGATGGCATATTTTGACAGTTGCTATAAACACACGAACACATGAACAACCAGGTACATAAATATATGCATAAGTAAACAGCTGAATCATAAAAAAAACCACAAATCCCTCTCCCCTCTCTTGACTTCTGGTTACTAGGAATTCCATTCGTGTTCGTGTCAGCGCGACTGTGCCTACACGTGTTACTGCGATGGAAGCTTTCATCTTACGCGTTAATTAAAGTTTTTCTGGCTATTGCGAACAGTTTCGTCTTGATCAGACTTGCGCATTGCCTTCGCAGGAGATGGGAAGTAGAGTTTGTGCAGTTCTGGGTTTGGCACTAAGGGTTCTGCTTGTAGTAGCAAGTTCCGATATCTATGGCAACTATGGCAAGTAGATAGTTTATCAGGCTGGCAATCTTGAGCAATCGCCTGTTAGGTAGTGGAAGCTTGTAACAAGTTGTAGGTTTGTCCAGGGCTTCGTGGGAAGCTTGGGGAACGCATGCCTACAACGGGTTCCAACATCCTTTTGCAGTCGGTCCAGTAGTAATAGTACGCCGCATGTATCTGTACCACCAGTGCAAGTCATAGCAGCAGTCGTCGGAAAGGTATTCGTCGTTCCAGTCATCATGATCATGTTCATGACTGTATCGTTAGCAGTACTGCATCTCTAGCATCAGCGAGAATACTCCTTGCTGTCTGTCTTTGGTCGCCGCTACCTGTTCCAGACAAGGATCGAGCCCAAAGCCGTCCCATCCTGCATAGGCGTTGGGTGCTTCCTTTTCTTTGTGTGGGTAGGTGAAGCAGGCTAGGCGAAGAAGCTAATCGCGACCAGAGTCTGAAGCTAGTTTTTCAGGCGGGCTGAAGAAGAGCTTACCAGGTGTATGCAAAAGCCTCTGGAAGGAGACATGTCATGACCCAGTTGAAACGATGTGTCGTCCTAGTTAAGTTTACGGAGAGACTGCACTACAGTGTGTCGGAGCACGGTTCGAGGAGCATGTCGGTTGCAGGGTTTGGGCAGACCATGAACCACGAGCCACTGACACTGTTTCCTACATAGCCCTCAAGACATTGTGAACCTCACTACATAGGTACATGTGCCCTAAGCCCAGAGTCTCAAGCTCTTAACTTCAGAGCCCTTGAGATAGACAAGAGACGGTGCCGGGACAGGAAAGACTTGCTAGCAGCAGGCACCTGAAAAAGTATGGCACACACACACACACCGTTTATGTATGAATGTCTACATAAATACATACATGCATACATACAGGCATACAGGCACACAGTCATGGACATACCGACAAACACGCATACCTACAGACATACAAACAAACAAGCAAACAGACAGACAAACAAAACATACCTACCCACCTACCTGCCTACCTACCTACCTTCTTGTTTCCAGTAACCTGTATTTATGTATGTATGTATGTATGTATGTATGTATGTATGTAAACTGCGGATCTTTACTCCAAGCCGTAAGCCTGTTAAGATCAAGATCTGGGAGCTCAAAGAATGCAAAAGGCACTGGCCCCCGATTCATCGCGGTAGAGGTTTTATACCTCTTAACTTTAGCGTTTAGGGTTAGGGTTTAGGGTTAGACTTATGCTCCTTTCCAGACCTCCTTTAAACGCCGAAGCCAAAAGGACGACGACAGTGGACGGCCCTTGCGCCTTCTGATCTGCGATTGAGATGCTGAAGAGGCCTGAAGGGGGGGTGGCCAGCCTGAGCCCTATACCGTGAACCCTGAGCCCGGAGCCCTAATACCTCGCAGCGTGATGCCCTAATTACTCCCTAAACCCTGAAATCGTAAACCCTAAACCTCTTAACCCTAAACTCCTGGGATTTAGGATCTGCAGGGTCCATTTAAAAAGCCTCATTTTCGGAGCTTCGCTTGGGGTTTAGGGTTTACGGCTTAGAGTTTAGGATTTTAGAATTTACGGTTTAGAGTCTATAAGGCTTCGGGCTAGGGAGCCTCCGGGGTAAGTACGTCGTTATCTTTGCGGCTTAACCATTGGGTTCCAGGATTTAGGGCATCCAAGACGGGACTCTCACTCTTCGTGTTCCGGTGAGGTTACACCTATACCCTAAACCAAAATCCCAAACCCTAAACATCCCTAAATTAACTAAACCACAACCTCGAAACCTTAAACCTAAACCCTACACCCTAAACCAAAACCAAAACTTACACCAATGGCCCCGAAGACCGAAGCGGCCAGAAAGCCCTAAGCATCCGATGCGCCCGGAAATACCGGGAAGCCAACAGGGGTACCGTAGACCCCTACCCTAAGCTCCTAAGCCTTAAACCTGAGGGTGTAGGGTTAGGGGTGCAGTGGTTAGGGTCGAGGGTTGCGGTTTCAGGATACTTCAAGCGCTAAGCTCGGCTAGAGTCCACATGCAAACTACAGCGTCCAGCTCGATAGAGCACAGCAAGAAACAGCCCTGACCCACACCCTTAAACACCCTGAACCACAAACCCCCTGCATCCCAAACCCCCTAAACCCTAAACTCTAAACCTGGGTCCTTCTTAAAACACAAGCCCTGATCGGTCCTGACTGCACTATGTAGAAGTAGTCGGCGTTCAGATCGCCCTCAGTGATGAGCCGGGTTCCCTTGGGGACTTCCTGCAGTCGCCATGGCTTGTCGCATTGAGCGTTTCAGGCTGTAGGATTTACTTGGGTTGGGATTCGGAGCATAAGATGAGAGTTTGGGTGGGGGGGGGGGGGGCTGGGGTGTCTTGTTCTGCCGGTGGCAAGAGGCTGCTGAAGGGGGGAAAAACCCACACACGCCGAACTAAAACCCAGCCCGTTTCGGGTTTAGCGATGCCGGCTCTTTTAGTAGACTAGGGTTTGGTGTTCAAGGGTCTGAAAGGCATCCTACTATTTCAGGTCCCATCTTAGGGCTTACGCTCTGCAGCTCCCTTGTGGCTCTAGAGTTCAGGTTCCCCTCAAGCCTAGACCCTAAACCCCAACCTCAGAAGCCCCACCCCCTGTTGCCGTAAACACCCTGAGCCCTGTATTCTCAAACCGGCTACGGAAGCTGGAACGCCCCAACCATCTCAAGAACCCTAAACCGTAAGCCCTATTGGTTACGGCACTAAAGGACCTAGCCAGTAGGTTGTAAGCAGGGTCGTCAATGGCCTCAGCCCGGGTATCCCAATTACAACTTGCATCTGTGCTTGAACCCTACTGACAAACACCACAGATCCCATGTGTGCACCTACGGGTCAAGTCGTCTGCTAACAGACACAGGATGTTGGACAAGTTTGCCAACTGCTGACCTGTGCCATAGTCGTTGCACCTCCAGAGGACTTGACACGGAGAGTCTGCCGGCCGGATGCTGCAAAGCCGAGCCCAAGACCGAGACCTTCGAATTCCTGAAGAAGAGTGACCTGAAGAAGAGTGACCCTGAAACCCTGAACCGCCGCCGGTAACCACTGCATGTAGAGAGCATGTTGCACGTCCTGCTTCCATGCCACATCTATGATGGCGTTAATGCGAGTGCGGTCTAAATCCACCAGGCCTTGACAAAGGCCAGGGGGTTGAACAAGGAAGAGAGAGGAAGTTCTTGGGCTTCGTTTGTCTTGGGCTCGATGCTTTAGGATTCGATGGTCTAGAGGTGTCTAGAGCCTAGGAGCTCAGGTCGTGGCAGTGTTGCTTAGATGGATTTAGGATTGAAAGCAAGCCCCACTTTGCTTGCAACAGCACCAGGATTACCGGATGTCACTACTCACTGATTGCTAACAAGCAATCAATCTCTGCCACACATATACCATGGAGGATCCGGAGTGGGCATCTCTGAATCGAGCCACCATGGGGGGCAGCTGCTTGCTACGAGCTCTAGCAGTACCAGTTAGTGTTGCTACTTCAACTAGTGATGCATTTACGCTGCTGGCAATACTCCAACTGCCGGTGTTTGGTCTATGACACAACGACTGCTACTACTCATCTGTATGGGAGTAATAGCAGGTACTGTCCGCAGAGAATGGAGAAGAAACCCAGCAAGATATAGTAGTGGATTACCTGAGGCTCAGTCTGACCCTCACCATTGGTCGTTTTGCAAACACCACAGCACTACAGGGTTTTGACTGACTGATCGTCCATCTTCCAGGAACAGGTAAACTCTTCAACACCGCGCTATCTCTCTTCCTCATGGGTAATCGACTTTGCCCTCAACTCTAAAACTTCAACAACCCGGAACCCTAAGACTTCAAGATGAACCTCTGAAGTCCCAAACAGCAAACCTAAGCCTGACACCTCGGAACCCGAAATGGAAAGCCGTTTAAAAATATGACAGAGCTCTAGCTCGAGCCTCCACGCTGCTAGCTAGCTTGAGAAAACTCGCTACACCACAAGATACCCGTCTAGTGGATGACTACGGAATACCTTAGTCTTAACCTACAACTGTATGTAGCTGAACCTACGACTGTATATAGCTCATTGGACTTCGGTCTCAACCCAATACTGTATATAATAGTAATAGATAACTGGGCGTCCAAGGAACCCTAAACCCTGACCTCCAGAGCCATGTTCTGGGGGGGGTCTGAGGGTCTGAGTTTGAGGGTTGAGGCTGGCAGCGAAATTCTGACAGGCAAGCAGATTTATGAAATAGCTGCAAGATAGGTATAGAGACCCACAGAAACAACTCCAATGCATCTACGACATACATAGTTTGTCAGCTAGATCCTTGCAATCAACGCTATTCGGGAGTTTCAGAAACAGAGGACCCGACTGTAGGTGGAAAATGCTGGGGAGGACCCTTCCTCGAGCAAAAACTTCCCTTTTCAATCGAAGCAGCTCTGCAGGTTTGTGTTCTTCTTCAGCGCGTTGGCCATCAGCTGTCCTTAAGAAAACGTGTGGGAACCGTTCGAGGTTTGGCAGACTTTGGGTTTTAATCTCAGCTTCCGACTTAGGCCCTAAACCCTTGAACCTAACGCCCAAAGCACTAACCTTATCTGCTGAATACCCTCACGTAAAATGGTAAGCCTGGTGAAGAGAGCCAGAGAGGGAGGGAGAGAGAGAGAGAGAGGTGGGCAAATTGGCAGCTCTAGGTATGGAGCGAGCAGCCAGTGTATACGTGCACATGTAAGCGCATAAACCAACTCAAGCAAACAAGTATGTGCGCATGCACTCGAAACCTTACCGTCGCCGATGACATCTTCGATGGAAATCACGATGCCTAGGGCCTAAGGCCTTTAAGGGTGGGGGACTTCTCTGTTGGCATTAATATGTGGTTGGGCGCGGTGGGCTTTCGTAAGGCCAACACCCTAAACTAAACCTTAAGTCGAACATCCGGACACCCCAAGCTGAAACCTCTCCAATTCAATCGCTGCAAGCCCTAAACCCGAACACCTTGCCACTTAGATTCGCTCGCTGTCGCTCTTTGGCGTCGGTTCCTGGCACCAGCATCTGTAGGTCGAGGTTCAGTGTCCGCGATAAGGAGTCCGAGAAAAGGGTTTACGGACAGGGACAGAAGTCAAGGTTTGGACCGAACCACCGTGCCAGAAAATCCGAAAGCCAAAGCCCCAGGCCCCGACAGCGCCTTTACTTCGACGTGGTTGCCCATGCCACCACCCACGGCTTTGCGCTGGGGGAAGTCGAGCTTATCCCTGTGGCTTAAGGTTTGAAGTTTGGGGCTTGTAAGGGCTTCGGACTTTCGGCTACAGGGATTTGGGCGCGTTCAGCTGTTAACTTTTATGCTTGGGTCCTAGAGTTCGGGATTTAGACCAGGTTCCACAAAAAAGACTCAACCGCTCAATCGCAAACAGCCTTCGCTCGAGAATGGGGCCCAATAAAGAGAGGAACGACCTCATTCAGCAACCCGCAGGCCTCAAACCAAGCTCCACGAACTTCTGCCGAGAGATGGAAAGCGCCTGAGAAGCATGGGATGTTCCTCGCTTTGCGGCTCATACAAAGTTATTACATGCCAGTTTGGGATCCAACACTAGCACGAGCATCTTCACAGGCACAAGCACAACAAAAAGCAACAGAACAAGAAGCGCAACTATACTAATAATAACCATAATATTAGTAATAATAGCAATAGTAATAGTAACAGTAATAGTAATAATAAT